AACCCCCTGTTTGTAGAGGAACATGGCCTTCTCCAGATCTTCCCGGGGGCGCCGTCCACTTCCATGAGTGTTGCAGGTCAACTATCTCTTCCAAGGGTGCAAGTGCTACCGAGATTAGTTAGTGTTGTTTCATGTTGTTTCTTTTTGTTTTGGAGCTTTCAGGATCTCAAACGAGGCTCGCTTCCAGTTACCAGGCGTATTTCACGTTCTGGCGCGTATTTCACGTTCGGACCGCCCTCATTGGCACCGCAAGCGGTCCGAAATGGAGGTCCATCGATTCAAGCAGCACAGTTGGTTTATTTTTTTGGGGGGTTATGATGGTCACTGGAACTTCTGGAGCTGGTCAAAGCTGTCACCCTCTGGTTGCGGGTTGCGGGTTCCTTCCCCTTCCCCGGCTCACCGAAAGTTCGGAGCCCGCGCAGAAGCTCGGTCTCCGCGGATGTCTTGTTTCGCTGCAGAACGAGACGGCGGAGTTGGCAGCGGAGCTGAACCAAACTAGCAAACTCTGGAGATTGTACCATGTGCCTTGGATCTCAGTTGCTGGAGCTCGGGGGACGATGGGCTTTATGGGGAAGCGTGGGGAAGCGGCAGATAAGACAGGTCAACGATCTGATCTCCTAGTTCCAGCAGTTGCTTTTGGATTTTAGAGCTTTCAGCCAGTCTTGTTTAGCATCCAGCGGCATCCAGCGTCCAGTGTCAGGTGGCATCCCGTCCAGTGTCAGCAGTCCAAACAGTCAGACCCGGCATGAGCAGCGATTTTCACCTCAAACCATCCCAAACATTTGGGTATTCTGCTGAGTACCTCATCTTTCTTCACTCTTCCTCCCCTACCCGAAACGAACCGGTCCGAATTTCTTCGGTTCTCCGCCGCCGGGGCGAGTGGCGCAGCGGCCGCGGCCGCGCAGCTGGCGACCGTGACCGCCGCAGGTCACGAGCCCCTCGATTGGCCCGAAGATCTTGAAGGAAGGCTTCCGATCAGGACCGGGTGAGTCCACCGGGTGAGTCCAGGTTAACGGTCAGGGGGGAAGGCGAGGTTGGAGGAGGTTCTTGGGGTGGGAAGAGATAGGTGGAGGTCAGTGTGGAAAGCGAGATGAGGTCCATCTTTGCGATAAAGGAGCACAAGAATCTGCGAGACTTGTATTTCATCTTCATGATGTTCCATCGTGCTGAAAGCTTCTGAAAAAGATACGCGATGGAAGATCTGTAACACATTGTAACACAACATATCATCAAATTATGATCAAGCTCGAGCATCTTTGGAGTGGATGTCCATTTGCATCCGTTTGCTTTCTTCGAGGCCAAGTTGCTTCCGGTGTTTTCTGTCTCTTTTGCCCCGCCCTCCCTCCCGACCAATTCCCACTCCAGCGGGCGCCTTTTCCTCGCCCACTCGGGCGGGGGAGGGTCGCTCTGCGAGGTCATGCTGGTTGGTGTGGAGCGGCCATCTACTTCGGCAACACGGCGCAGGACTTGCGGACCGCCCCCCCCCCGAACGTCGCGGTGGAAGCACGTGCCGATCCGCGACTGGAGCACCCTGGAGCGAAGCAAGGCGAAGCAGGGATTTGACCTCTTAGTAAGGGATACCCGTTGATGGCTTCAAGATTGGGAATTGATTTGGACACTTGAATTGTACATCCCCAGGTTATTCATTCAAGAGTCGTGGATTCGCGGGCGATCCATCGTCCAATCAAGAATGTGTTTGCTTGTCTAAAGGTCCCCTTCCCAGCCTTCTTCGGGGCCGCACGGCGCCTCCGTGACAGGAGACCAAGTGGAAAGCTGTAACTTGGAAGTGAATGAAGCGACATCCTGATCTGTTCTGTTCTTTGTGGTGTATGTTCAGGCCCTGGTCTGCAGGTGTTTTTGTCCCGTTGTCTTGGGGACATCGCGATCTCACGCTCCGACCCTCGTCCCGCCCCGACCCCCGTGGATAAGACTTAACCGGGCACTCAACGTCCGAGCGCAGCTCAGGTGGGTCAAGACTCGCATCAGGGCTATTTGATTGACGCTTGGCGAGAGGGGAGAAGTCCATGTAGATGATGGGTCCATCAACCTTTCTGGGGGAGGGCTTTTACAATCGGGGGGGTTTTGTTCATCAACCATCTACATTACAAAACGGCTGTTCTGGTCTGGGGCAATAACAAACAGCCCGCTTTTGAGTTTGTTTGTGTGGTTTTGTGTTGGTTGGTTTGTTGGTTTCTTTATTTGTAGTTTGTTTGTTCGTCTCAACTTCGCACGTCACCTCTCCTTTCTTTCGATCTACTCCTCCGCGTCCGTCCGTTTTCACACGTCCGTTCGGATCGAGCGTTCGTTTGGCACGAGGAAGCCATGGTCGACCCGGGGCACGTCAAGAAGATGCCCTGGAACTGCTGCGTGGCCGCGTCGGGAGCACGGATGAGCACCGGTGCACGTCGCGCAGCGATGGGGCAGAGGGTTTTCCCCGGTCAGGATGAGGCTAAGGGGGAGGGTTTTGACGTATTCAGTATGGTGGATGTTTTGATATGTTTTGATTCATGTTTCAGGATTCTGCCCATGTCAGTATGGTGGAGGTCATGCTAGATTCAGATAGGAATAGGGAGGGGAATTCTTCTGGACTGTGTGTACTGACAGATGCTTTGGCACCTGTTCATTGGCAAGATGAATGGCCATGATCAGGGAGATGTTCAACGGTGAGCGATGGGTGGCCAAAGAGCAAGGCCACCATCCCTCTACATCGGACATCGTGTTGTGTTGGTCATCGGTCATGCAGTCATGGCCGGGTTGTCTCTTGCGAAAAAGAATTCATCACCGCTCGACCTCTCTTGGTGGCAAATTCCACTGTTCTCACACGAAGCCAACGACTGAACGAGTTTTCCAGACCACCTCGTGTTGTTGCTTGGGCACGCGGCACCGCACTCCGGTGACCAAAAAGGTTGGGCCGAGTTTGGATGCATGGTCGGGAAAAAGAATCGTTTTTTGAATCACCCCACCCAAACTGTCACCGGAAAGTCGTCAACAGCGGGGGGTTCGAAGCGCCAAAACGCACCAGTTTCGACTGAAGACCGCACCAGTTCCAGAAACCGCCATCGCTCCTTGAAGTTGCAGACTCATGACCCATCTTGACTCATCTTGACTGGCACTAGTTCGGGGTCTACCCCCGACTGCGAGGCCCCCGAGGCCCGCGGCCCGCTAAGAGAAATCCAACAGATCCAAAAGGGTCTGTCTGCAATGTTTTCCTCTTCTTCTTCTTCTTCTGCAGCTGAGGCTACACCAGCACTCACTGCATTGACAGCCATCCAGGACTTCAGGGCCACGTGAGCTGCCTCTCGCGGCATTACTACGGCAACGAGCTGAGGGGACAGGACCGGACGAAACCCCCCACCGCCGGTGTCGCACGGTGGATCGCACGGTGCCACTCGTTTCGTCTCAATCGGGCTTGCCCCCTCCGGAAGGCACAGGTATCAAAAAAAAAGTAACACGAGGATCAAAATAAAAATAAAAGCGAATCAAAAAACACATATTCCTTGATAGGCCTCTTCTGCTGCTCTCCTGGCCCTGTGGTCTGCGGGTCCTCTGGTAATAAGGTCCCTTGGTCCCTTGGTCCTCTGGTCCTTTGGTCCCCTGGTCCCTTGGTCCTTTGGTCCACTGGTTCTCTAGTCCTCCGGTCTCCTGGTCCTCTGGTCCTGTGGTCCGCTGGTCCCCTGGTATCCTGGTCCTTCTGTCTCCTGGTCTGCTGGTCTCTTGCTCTCCTACTCCGCTCGTCTTTCGGTCTCCTGGTCCCCTGCTTGCGCAAATCGAGGCTTGATTGCTTTCTACTAGAGTCTAGAGGCAGCTCCCTGGGAGGAAAGTAGGTACCCAGCCGTCCAGTCATTGGGTAGCCCTACTCGAAAAATGGTTCACCAGTAGAAATAGCTCCCTACTAGGAAGGAGCTCCTAGGGAGGTACACTCTCCTAGCCCCGTACTCCTTCCATCCTCTTCCCTTGGTCTCCTAATCCTGCTACTGCTACTGCTACTCCTACTACTACTACTACTACTACCCCAACCATCCTCAGTGGGCTAGAATATTTTTTTTTTGATTCCCTTTCTATTTCTTTTTGTTGATCCCCGTTGAATATGTTTTTTGATTATGTTTTTTTAAATCTCTTACCCCCTCCGGAAGCCCCAGCCAAAAAAAGGAGTGACTTCAGTGCAGACCTTTTTCCATTTTTCCATGTTTTCGCTTGGATCGCACGGAGTCCGAGAAAAGACCACCGGCCGCCGGTTGGCAGAAACCGGACCCCGAACCCGGGTCCAGGGCTATGATTCCATCGTCTTCAACCCGGGCGATGGCAATGAGATTGTCATTTATGACAAGCACCGGGTGAAATCCATGCGTGGCTCGGCATAGCTCGGTTTCGCCCGACATCTCAGCAGGTCTCGCAGTCCCGTGGCTTAGCACTGAGCATCTGCAAAACATGAAGTCGGAAGCGGGCTGAACATGCAGGACAACGGGTCCAACGGGTCAAGGAAATCCAGTAGGTCGTTGTAGCTTGGCAGTCACGTGTTTTTCTCCACTCCAGTCGGGCCAACGAGATTCCAATCTCGTGGACCGTGTTACCGACACCGCGGCGAGGCCACATCCCCATGCCCTGAGCGCACACGGCGCACGGCGTGGACGCGGTGAGACACACTGCTCGCGGCCCAAAAGTGGCTGAAAACGTGAGAAGTGTCGACTGCCTTTTGCACCGCTGTGAGGCAAATGTGAGCATTCTGGCTTGAGCATGCTCGGAGGGTGGGAGGGTGGGTGAGTGAGTGAATGTGGCATAAGTGAGAAACCCGTAATTACTTACAAAGAGCACCGGGCCGCTGTCAGCTGCGAAAGTCAAAAGCGTGGCGAATGCTCCTGACTAGCATCTTGTAGTCACACATGAATTTGTGCCTAGGATTGGATGGATTAAGTATGGATCTTCTCTTGCTCATGCTCGTATCGAGCCCACACGGGGCTCCCTCGATCCCACACGGCGGTCCGTGTCCTCGACGCGCCCAGGTGCCCAACCTTGGCCCTCGAGCTTCGACGTGCAGACCGAAAGCCCGAGGACCTTGTTCTATTGGTGCGCCGACCCGTGCCAGGGAGGACCTGAAAACGAGAGAACCGACCTGTGTAACTCCTCTGTCAGGACCCATCTGTCCTCTCCATGCATGGCTTACTGTACCCCGTAGGTAAATGTGCCAGACATGGAGTGTCTGGGAGATAAGGTTCTAAAAGTGAGCTCGGTCGTTCGCAAGAGGACAGCTGTTCAACATGAAGTGGATGGCATCCCCTTTTCGTGATAGTCCTCTTCCAATGCGAGGCTCTTGTGCCACCACAGCTGTAGTCCACCACCCCAGGCACGAACCGTGGCACGAACCCGTGCAACGGCGCAACCCGGAAGAGACGCACGCCTTCGCCTCAGCAGATCTTCAGGTATCAGCTGTCGGACTATGCCAACTTCCCACATGTGGGTACGGCTGCCATGCGTTTTGGATGACCCGCCGCCGTGCGCCGTCCTCAAATTCTGAATGGGAGGTTTCCAATGATTCCGCCCATCGGCTGTACTAGGTGATTGTTGCTTACACTCCCCACACTCCGCCGCCTTGCAACCACACCCGTGGAACACCCAGCGACACGCCGTGGAGTACCGATTCGCCAGGTCAATGCAGGTCGATTCCCGATGTGCTCTACCAGATTTCCAGCACCGTTGGATCCCAGAAGGGGGGAGTCCACCGTGGACTCTGCTTGGGGATGGGGCGGTGCTTCAGTTCGGTGGAGATGCAGGGACTCAGTCGAAGACGGAGTGCCGGCTTGATGTGCGAAAGATGGTAGGAGAATGTTGTAGGAGATGCTCAGGTGTTTCAGTATCTCGATTTTGCACTGTTTTGCTTGGAGGGGTTGAGGTGCGCTAGTCTTGGATTTGGCTTATATATTATATTCTACTTTGCGTTGGGAAAGGCGCTTGATGAGCCAGAGGGAGTCGTACGACGAGCGACCATCAATCGTAGGACTTCCAACTACCTGACACTCCAAGTGGACGACTCCTTGTTGGAAAGCCATCCACGTTCGCTCCTTAAAGAAGCACAGAGGTAGAATATTAAAGCAAGGCGCTTCCATGATTCTTGGACCTGGCTAACCGTTCATAAGTTTTGATTGAGAAGAACATCCAGGATTGCATCCTCTTCATCAACAGCGTCTCATGTTCGCCGTTCGCCACCTTTCTTTCTCCCATGCATGGAAACTAAATAAACCCACTGTCACCTGAGATTTTGGCTCCCCAGCAAATTCCTGCATATTCCTATTGGGAAGCAAATTTCTAAATTTGTGTTTCCTGTTGTTGCCGTGTAGCATCTCCTGTCACATCTCCTGTCAAGTCTTGTCACATGTTCCAACACCCCTGAGTTTGATTGTTGGCCCCGCGGTCATCCACCCCAACTCCTCAGCTTGGCTGAGACCGCAAGTCCTAGGACTTGCCAGAAGTGGCTCAGCAGATGCGAAGCCACTACGCGCTCCTCTCCCGTAGCGTGCCTTGGTGCGAACCCCACGTTCCAAGAGCGACCGGCCGAAAGGAGCATGAACTTCGCCAAGTGGTGTTGGCCAATGACAGAGAGAAAGAGGGTTGGACTAGAACCAGGTTTCATCAGCCAGACGGCCGCTGGGTTCCAGACGACTGGGCAGATGGCCCAGCGTATCAAAGACGACTCACAGTAAAGGATCTCTAGTGTTCTGTGTTTGGTGCGTGTCGGTGGTTGTGACTGTGCGCTTGCTTTCTTCGAGCGCCCCTCAAACAAATGGCGGCCGCTCTGCAGGTGACGCACGCCTTCTCCCGTGCCACGACGCTCCTGTTGCAGTCAGCCGTTCCGCAAAAAAGGCTTCGCTGCCAGAGTTTGGTTCGGGTGGTACCTGGTGCGGGTGCTGCCGTCCGCTGCAGACGTGGGTTCGGGCATGTGGACGCAGACGGGCATGTGGCTGAACGTTCGGGTGGTGACCTGTTGATCTCTGAACCATGAGAACCTGTTTTCGAATTCTGTTGGAGATGGCGCCATGGACCCAAACGACTCGCAGAGGTTGGATCCAACGACCGTCGTGGGGCTTCGAAACAGGTCGACTGAGACCCTTGTGGCAGGTCTTTGTCCTTTTGATGGACTGGATGGAACTTCAGCCACGCCAGTGGGGTGATTTTGTTTTCTGGTTGACCTCATGGGTTACCGGGCCAACGCCGAGCTTTGTAAAAGACGTTAGGGATCAGTTTGGTTATTGGCTTTGGGGCCTCACGGCGGCGGCGAGGCGTTTTTTAGCCATGCTCAAGTAGATGGCGCATACCAAATAGATCCAAAGATCCAAATAGGAGATACGTTCTCTATAACCAGGAGAAGTAGATGTTGTGTTCTTTTGCAGAAAGCCAGGAACAAGGGTGCGTCAACTGTTTTCCTATTTGTTGCTACGACGATAGGGTTCATGTCAAATTATTGACCTGGTTGGTATGGGGCCAGCCAGTGTCAACCAGAAGCATGCCGCCAGTCATCACTGCACTTGCTTGCTGACATGGGCCCCGGCTGCCGGCTGCCAGTGTAGGGTCTCAACGGAGATGTATTCAATGGAAGATAAAAGCAGTTGCAACGGAAGAACCTCTGGCAGCACCCGTGGATCATTGCCACGAAGACCAGAAAACAGTGTCATCCAACAGCATTTGCTTGCAGCTCACGTCGCCGATATAACCCCCAACAGCTATGGCACACGACCCGAAGACAACTGAAACGTCGGCACAGAAATGCCTTGGTTTTAGGCTGACAATCTCTCAAGCCTCTTCGAGGACGGCGCTCGCGGAAAACATGAGCCACGATGTGCCGCAAACAGTGGGACTCAGTTCTTTCCTGGTTTTTCTTTTCTTTTTTTCTTCCTCGTCGGAGTCCAACCCGCGGTTTCCTTTATTTTTCTGTTTTCTTCGCCATGGACAGTGAGACCGCGGTCTTCGTGCAGCTGGTGCCGCATGGCTTCTTTTGGCCCTCTTCGTCGGGAGACCAACGGCATTGCGACTGGGCGAGCGGTGTGGGTGGCGACGCGCAAGAAGTGAGACGAACAATGGCCGCGTATTGTTTATGGGAACAAGTACTGTGGTTTCAGAGGTTCGATGGCACTGGCACCCCAAGATGTCTTTTATATGGGGGGTCCTTCTAAACCACCGACCTTGGGGATTTGTGCCATCTGAAACCGTATATAGACTCCGAATGGTCCCTAGCTAAGGCACCAGGGCACAAGGCACGGCCCTAATCACCTCACCACCTGACGTCTTAGACTCTTCACCTTTCCGCCGAAGCTTCCGTGGCCGGTGGCCAGTGGCCGACTTCGCCCCACCACGGCGGTGAGGAACGCCCCATTGGGGGGTTGAAACCGTCGAGTTTCGGCTTCCATTGAGATCCCGGAATGGTCCTCGTCAGGAAATGGGTACTACGCTTACTCTTAACCCTGTTATAAGGGCCAACCCCTAGTTGAAATCCGATCCTTTTAGAGTTATTTTGGTCCGCTCCAAATGCCCCGTGATGCAAGCCTGAATGTGCTTCGTTGCGAAGTCATGGTCATACCAGGACGCTCCTGGCCAGACTGTTGGGAGACCCTAACAGTTGGTTTCTGGGCACTGAACTTGTCAGCTGCAAGCACTTAGTTGGAGGGTCCAGGTAGAAACTTCCGAGGCACATCCCAGGTTGCGTTCGCCATCCCAGGTTATTGGTTCAAGAGGGACTCGGCATGGCGAAAGCTGCTGGCTGCTTGGGCCAAGGAGAATGATTGGCACCTCGAATGCGCAGAGTTTCCAGTTCCATAGTTTCACAGTTTTCTTTTGCCTTCGTCCAGTTCCACGCCACCCACCCCCACACTCACTCACTCTCTCTTCTTAGTGCAGGCCCAGTCAGACCTGTGCACCGCATTTTTTTCTGCGCCGTACTGCTTTCCCCTGACAGGTTGGACGAAGACTTGCAGTTGTCCACCTTAGAAGGCGTGCGACTTCCCTTGGACTCCACGCCGTCGTCCAGCGGCCTCGCGGACGGGCGCGAGCTCCTCAGCTTGACGGTGGGTCCCGTCCAGGCGACGCGCGACCCACGGCGTGCAGTGAAAGCAGCAATGGCTGCTGGTGGTCGGAGTGGGCAATCTATCTCCGGCCAGGTGCGGGGGGAGTATGGGGTGTGTATGGGGGCTGCCTGGGAGATGACACTGGTGGAGGGGGAGTCTTTGGGTCACCAAGTTGGTGACATGGAATGGGGGTGCCTGCAATACTTCCAAAAGCATCCATTCTCCACGGAAAAGAACTGTGGCCTGCAGCGGGCAACAGGCCTCTTCGGGGCTCAGGTGAGCAGCTAGTGGCAGCTAGCAACTAGTATCTTGCTTTCCCTTTTGCTCTGCGTGGCTGAAGTGCTTTCAATCCCGGATTTCCCCCACCAACCCGGCACATCACCGGTCCCACGGCGCAGAGTGCCCGCAGGTGCGCGTGCAGATCCTCGCGCACATCGAAGGCACTGCCCCCGCCGTGCGGCTGCGTTTCGTGGTGCCGGGCACCGCGCCGGCACGGAAGCTGATGATGGCCTGGTGCTTGCGGCAGCACGTGAGCCTTACGGAGGCGCGGACGGTGTCCAGGCGGTTTTTCCAGGAAGGAAGTGCGGGGTTTCAGGGTCTGGGCGTTGGATGCTTGCAACACCTTTAGCATGCTCCAGCCCGTTCGCACGTTCTGGCCCCGCGCCATTTCCGAAACTTTCACTCCTTCAGCTGTGGTTTTTACCAGCCTTTGCGCCATTGCATGCAGGTGCGTTTCAGCTTGAAGGTCGAGGGCCACTGGCGCGAGCTGCCGCCTGACGAGACCTTGGACGCCTTGGCGTCGGCGCGGGCGGCGGCGGCGCTCTCCTCGCCGCTGGAAATCTTGGCCGAGCCAAGGAATGCTGAGGACATGGTGGATCAGGCGGGAAGGCGGAAGAGGGAGGGCAGGCGCTTCCAGACCCCTGAAGATCTAGACGACATTGTTTTTGGGGGAGATGGGGGGCTTACTCTTTCTTGTTTTTCTAGGCATGAAGACCGCTGAAGACTCCCAACTTCGTGACGAAATGAGGTGCCCCCCTTCATTGAACAATCCTACATGTTGAGGCTTAGTGGGCTTTCCAAGTGTCAGCTATAAAGGCATCTCTTGGGCAATACTGTAACAGCTGGTTGATGCGAAACAGATGAAACCTCTCATATAAGCAACTACAACTGACGAAGGCTGGGAGGCCGTTTTCGGAGAGAGCACATCCCAGGCTCAACCATTCCGAAGAGCACCTTTGGGGTCTGGGTGTCCTGGATTTTTGTTGGGCTGTCGATGGATCTCTGACCATCCGGCCCCAAGGAGAAAGCTCCAGAGGCCGCGCGCCCGGCCACGCCGCACCCCACGACCCCCACGGCCCCCCGCGCCGCGCCGGCCGTGGCGAGCGCGAGCACGAGCGCTGGTGCAAGCCCAGCGACGGGTGCTGGTGGCGATGAGGGCATCCGAGTGAAGGTGCAAATGGTTCCACAAGGGAGGCTCGGCCAAAATTGACCTTGTGATCCCAGTGTTGATCACTGGATCATTGGAATTACTGGGATCATTCGATCTCAGCATGTGATTGGAGATCATTGGGATGTGTGGGGGGTCACTGGATTCCAAACTAGCGCGGGGGGGTACACCCCTCTTAAAGGATTCAGGGAGGCTTATTTTCAAGGGCAAGGGGCTTCTTCAGAATCTTTGAGCAAGTTGAGCTCCTTTTCCGGGCTGTCCGCATCCCTCATTTCGAGGATTCTGAAGGACCGTGTGAAGCAGAGTGCGACCGAGCGGGCCCTCAGCTTCAATACCAAGATGTTTGCACCACTGGGAAAGGCCATCCGGAAGTGGTGTGAACATCAGCAGCTCTTACCGGAACCTCGGCGAACCGTTTGAGCGGTGCCACGCGTAGCGGCCTTGAAGGAGGTCGACAAGGAATAGGTACAGGACCAAAGCAACGTTACACCAAACATGTGGCATACATTGGCATACTCTCCATGGGGTTGTAGTTGCCTATGCCAGCCACACACTGCACCTGTTTTGGAGAGCTGAGCAGAAGTTGACCCGCAACTGAGCATAGGTTCAAGAAGGAGATGACACAAACCCATTGATGACTCTGGATATGGATCCATCTATTGTGAGATTTGTGCCACCTGAGCTTTGTGCTTTGAACCTGCTGTGAGCGGTCAGTCGTTGAACACACCTTGCACTTGGCAAACATGACGTGAACTCAGGACACGGTGGTGACCTTTCACAAGGGCAAGAAGCTGTCATGGGAGAGCCTTGTTTTCAAAGGACTTTGGCGCGTTTGGCATCATTTGGTTGATGGACATGTGAAGAAGATCTTCACGACCAGGAGGAGGGCCAACAGCAACAGGGCTAAAAAATACCATTGTTTGATTAGGCATGGCATGCTGGTTGGTTTCTAGGGCATGAGGCGTGCTGGGCTGCTGGACTTGCACGATCCAGGTGAAGATGCCAAACGCAGGGGGTGACTTCACATGGTGCACACGCGACTTCACATGGTGCAGCGACGTCCCTGAACAACAGTGAAGCTATCAAGAACCGCCCTGAGGACCTGATATGTTAAACTACTGAAGCCACCTCTCTCACACCACAGAACAGCCATTCGTTCCCTCGAAAGCTCCAAGCCGTCTCCAACCATTGACCTCCATCCTTTTTGCAGTCAATGACGTGCAAACATCCTCCAGCCCTTCCCGGAATCGCGGAACCACCCGACACCTTCACCGCCCGAAAGGCCGCCCGTACCGAGGAGCAGCCCAGCGGCCGAGGGCTTCCGGCCCGGTGAGTTGATCCTCTTCGACCTGGTTCTGCTGAGCGATGCCACGCAACTGGCCGTGCAGGAGGCGAACAGCCGAACCGCCACGCGGCAACGCTGGTGGTTGGAAGTTGGGAAGTTGGGAGGGGAATGATGGGAGATGGGAAGAGGTGTTGGCTTGCAGATGTGATGGGTGGGCTTGGTGGTTGGGCGGCAAGTGGTTTAGGATGGTTTAAGGCATTTGTGATTTAATCTGGACAAGGCTCCCAAAGCTGACGGCTTGCGGATGTCGAGTTCATGCTTCTTCGATCAGGCGGATCCTTTCGTGCCCAGCTCGTGCCTTGGGCCCTGTTTTCGCGAGAACTTCCTTTTGGACTCCTCAGCGGCCCCCACCTGGTATCCACCACTCAGGGTTCCAACAGTGCATAGATCGGTCGCGGCTGTGACCCGAGATCGTGGTGCCGCCAGGCCAAACGGGTGCCGATCGCAGCTTCGGCGGAGGAGGTGAAGAGCTTTCCCATCAGCGTGCAGGTGGACAAGGGTGAAGGGGCTCAGGGAGGGCCGGGGTGGTGGGTTGAAGGGTTCAGGGGGAACATCTGGGCAGATTCAGGTACTCAGCCGCAACTGGAATACAGGTCCATTCTGCATTCTTGGGCTTTCTGTCCCATGACCACGCCCTGGCTCCATGAAGGATCGCTTCCGGGAATTTCACCAGACTGCCAGACTGCCTGTCGCGGACGGTGCCAACCCTGAACCAATAGCAACCCACAAGTCGTGGGCGGTGAAGGACCTCACTGGGGTACCTATGAGATAGGCTAGTTCGGGTCCTTCAACCTCTGTTGCTTTCTTTGGGGTGGCAGAGCACCAATGCCCGATGTGTCCAGCCCTCCTGCGACCGGCCTTCTCGTCTTCCCTGTGTCGGAACCGAACACCTCGCGTCTTCCCTCCGGTGCGCAGCGAAGCCTGGCGAAGCTGGGGCAGGTGCGGAGCGAGCTCTTGGAACAGGTGGACTTTAAGATGAAGTCGACCACGCCTTTAGTCACCTGCCATCGCCATCGCAGCCGAAAGACATGGATTTGGGAGGTTGTCGGCCAGGGAAAGACCATGTCCAAGTCTGTCGGCCATGTCCAAGTCTTTACAATCTTTTGGAGTTACCAAGTACGTTGATTTCAGCTTGTGTGGGGTGACCCTGTGATCCCCAACCTATCTACAGGAGGCAACTTCTTGCCAACTTCTGTGATCCCCAAGACCAACCTCCTTCGCCACGTCTCGCGGCTTGCCGTGCCGAGGTGAAGATGATCACGCGGTGGCGCCAGCAGCAGAACCTCCGTGCCACCGCCGTGGTACGCTTCCGTGAAGCCGATGCTCCCGATGGCCGTGCGGACATCGTGGCCACGGACACGCCAGAGGGCCGCGGCTGGGCGCCGGCAGAAAACGAGGTTGGCATGTGGGGGATGGGGGATGGGTGGTGGTGGTGGTGGTGGTGGTGATGTAGTTGTGAGCGCGATGCCCCGAAAGCTCATCATGCTCATATCATGTAAATTAAAACAAGGTTTGAGCGTCTGCGGATGTTGAGGTGGAGAAGGTAGTGTTGGTCCGTTTTTGAGCGTGCTGTTGGAGTGATGTGCAGCTGTGGTTCTGGGTTGGGAGTGGTGGGGAGGTTTTAGCGCTGGTTTCCGCCATAGCCGCCATAGCCATCCAGGATCCAAGAAGGGACTCTGAAAGGCGATATTTTGTAGCTCTGAAATCGGCCTGCACAAAAAAGACAAGACTTGTTTCTGTTTTTCGTCGCTGGAGCCTGACAGGTGATCATTGTGGATGCTTACATTGAAGCTCGGTGGTTGTCTGTGCGATGTGGCCATGTGGTGCTGGGAGAGGGGCCGTTTGGGACCACTGAAATGAAGCTCATGATAGCTCCACAGAGCCGGGGTGTTTTCGGGGAGAGTTTCAAGGGTCACGGACGGCAAGTGACCTGACTAGTGACTAGACAGCCACCCGAACTGGATGGGGGCGACGAACGCTATGTGACCATTTGCAAAGAGGATGGCGTGGTCATCTACCGTTTGACGTTCACAAGCGGCGATGGGGGAGATTTAATGAGATTTATGTAGTCGTTTAACCTACTAAAGAGGTGTAATATTCATATTTATTCATATTCATTGCTATTTTTAACTGTGGAGGGCATACTTTGTCAGAGAGATGCCTCGTACTTTTGTGCACGCATTTGACCAATTTTCTCGGTCAATTGTCGGGGGTGTCAGGGCCTCACATGACGATACAAAACACACTGGAACATTCACATGGAACCATGACAAACCATGACAAGGCACAACTTTAGAACAGGTCGCTCAAGCCCAAGGCATCGCGCATTCAATGACCTAGGCAAGTGCAAACTGGACATGACAAAATTTTTTTGGTCCCTCCCACAGCCAAACCCTTAGACCAAAAATGTCCAAACTTGCTTGTACCGACTTTGGAACAAGCTGCGCCCAACGCTCCAGTTTGTGTTTCTATTTTTGCAGGTGCCATGTGAATCTTCCCCGGTGTATGTGAAACTGCTTGGGAACTTGGCTTCTTCGATGTGAAGAGGGCTTCTTCGGTGTCGCAAACCAAGGGGGGACGACGTCTTTCCCCCTTCTTGTCCAGGACGCCATGAGTCTTCGGCCGCGCGCATCGGCTCCGGACGTTTTGTTGAGCTCCGGAGCCGCGGGTGGTCTCACCGCGGGTGGTCTGCGACAGGAAGGACAGGAAGCTGCCAAGAAGAAGGCCGGAGTGGACACTGTTCCACCCAAAGCCGTTGATGAGAACGCCGCCAGCTGCTTGGTCCTGCTATGTCCTGGGTGGAAAACCAGTTCGTTCGGGGTGACTCTCGCCAAAGCTCCAGTTTTGGCCGAAAGGTTTGGGCCATGTCCAGTTTTGCGAATTCGGGAGGTCAGAGGTCCGCTGACTCGAGACGTATCCCACGGACAAACGTCTTTGCTAGAAGTCCCGTGTTCGACAGATGTTGTGGGCCCACCGAAAATACCACAAAAACACCTTTAACATCCTTTAACAATGGCCTTGGACTCTCCAATTTAGCTTTCCGTCTAATTTTGTGTCGTGTCCACCATGAATCAATGGACGGAGTGCTCAACCCTACTGTTTGCTCTGCCCCCTTTTCTGAATTGCTCATGCCCACTGCGCTTGGCCACTGCGCTGCACCTGTGGGCGGCCGGGCCCTGCCGTCCACTCCAAGGTCCCGCGGCGGCGTGCGCCGCCGACGCCGCGGCTTGCCCGGCAGGGTCGGAAGGTGCAGAGAAGGAGAGTGAAGAGAAGGTGGATGCAGCTGAGCAGCCTCCTTCAGTGAAGCAGGGAGCTTCAGAGCCTCCAGCGAAGCAGCCTTCTTTGGAGAAGCAGGACGCTTCAGAAAAGCAACGGAGGGGTTTTGGTGGTTCCAGATGTTTGACAACAAATGTATGTGAAGATCCTTCATTCAAGAAGCACCTTAAGCCTTAAAACATCACAGAACTTTGCCCACCCCATTGTACTTCTGCCCGTTCTCTTGGCCTTCACCCCCAGTTGTCCATGTTCTTCCATCGGCCGACCGGAGAGGAGCTCCCCACCGGCCAGGCCGACCAGAGTGAGACGAAGACGGGAGAGGCCAAGACGGAGGCGAAGCATCCAGCATGGGTGTGGGGGCACCGGATTTTTCCATGTTTTTTTCCCCTCCCTGAAGCCAACTGTTTCGGTGGAATTGGTGCCCTCACTGCGAAACAGAAGTGCGGCGAGGGCACAGGTCAAAGGCGTTCATGAGTGAGTAATGTCTTTGAGGCAAGGGCAAGGATACTCAGTTTGTTGGATGGACCCCTTTGGCATCCGCTCCGTGTATGTAAGATTTCGACGAACCGAAGAACCACCATCCCTCCTCGCGGTTTTGGGAGTTTGCTTGAAAGTGCGCGGAGGCCGAGAAATTGGAGAAGGTGAATGTGGAAGTCATTGCTTGGGATCAGGATACTTGCCGCTTGGAACGACCACATGGAGGGGTTCTTTCTTGACAGGCCCCCATCAAATTACGTGGCATCGGTCAAGACCAGGCGGAGCTTGCCCGGCTTCCCGGCTTCCCGGTCAAGGCAGGCCGGAAACCTGTCGGTCCATTTCCTCATCCGCTCACGATACGGATCGTCGCGGTCGAGCGGTGGCCCCAAAAGGTGCGACTGGCTGCGGGTCTGTCCCATGACCTGCAGCAGTCGGCAAAGAATTTAGCACCATTTTTTCACAAGGCCTTTACTCACCATGTTAGGCTGCGAACACGCTTGTGCCGACTAGTGTCTAGTCGTGTGTGGACTCAAAACCCAGGGGGGCACGGAGCCAACAGACTGAAGACACCAACGAGTTGTCACGAAGACACGAGTTGCCACGGCTTGAAGCGGCGTGTTGGTGTCCGGTTGCGACCTTGGATCATGTCATAGGTGAAGGTGAGTCACTTGAGCTTGAAGCGGCCCAGACCTTCACTCACCCGTGCTTCACTCCCCATGGTGGTCGGAGCAAGCGCTCGCTAACGCCGGAACCTAGCGGTTCTCATCTCGACCAGAAGTGCACGGAGAGAAAGAAGAGCAAGCACAACAGGAGTAAAACGGCACAAGATTGGATCTCTCGATGGTGTGACCCTGTGAGACCACGGTGTGACCCTGCGTGGTCTCTCATAGATCTACATCCTGGAAGACTAACACGGACCCTGAAAACCACGTCGGTTGGTCCATTGGTAGAGGAGCCGAGCCACTCGGACCCAGGGGGGCGAGGACGTGTGTCAGGGTCTATGTGAGTGGACTCGGGATGCGACCTGTGCTCGATCAGGTCACAATGTGAACTTCAAGATGCGACCCGACTCCAACTTCGAGAAGCTCATGGCACCTCGGCGGAGCCATGCCGTTGCATGGAATCTGAGGGCATGGCGGCTTTCCGAGACCCCACCCAGGCACATTCCAAGTGCCTGGATGGTACTTGGATGATTGGATTCCTTTGTGATGAATCATTTCCCTACCCCCAGTGCTCTTGGCCTCCTCACCCAGCAGGCGTGGGCGATCCAGGCCACCCGGCGATCGCCGAACTTCCGAGGCCGCATGGTGTAAGAACTTCGACCTCGACGTGAGCGAGGCCATTTTCGAGTACCAGGGCCAGCAGATCACGCCGCAGGCGTTGTGTGTGTTTTTTCAAGTATTTTTTTTGTAGGAGGCTTGCCTGTTTTTTTCGGAACACATGCCGCATAGTAGTGCTGATCGTTTGTTTGACACATGCTGATTGGAATATTTGGAATTGGTAAACTTCGGCAACTTTAGTCCTGGTCAACAACTTCTTGCTTGAGCGCGTGGGTTCTGGTTGTTTCACTGATTTGATCACAGATCTAAGTGGTGACGACTGTGACAAACTCCAGGTTCTGACATACCTGTGGGGCACGGAGGGGCCTGTTCAGAGATGGACCTTTCCAAAGCACTCACCGCGTCTTGACGCATGTCCTAGCTGGTCCTAGCTGCATGACGCATGATCCATTCATCATCCATCCAGTGTTCTTCCACAGCTTCTTGGGCCGGAGGATTCTTTCACGAAACTGGGTTGGCAGAGCTCCATGGGCACGCCCAAGATCGAAGTGACACCTGGCCCGCAGAGGGCGGACACACTGCCAAGCCGCCCAGAGCTGGGCTGAACCAACCAGTGTTCCACTCGAAACCAAGGACCGATATAGAACGCCCGTTGAGGAGATCCGTCCAACCCGAGCAAGCGAGACCATCGCGTTACGCCACGCTGGATCTGTGGAGACCAAAACCGCTAAGCCTGCCGAGAGACCACCGCAGTCGGTTTCCACTGAATGATTTGCAAGGGTTGGGCATGAACAATGGGGAACGGTTTCCGTCCCAAAGCTGCCACCCGAAGTGTTTGGGGTGCGCGGGGTGAAGGATTGAATTGAATCGATTGAATGCTCGCCAGGTGAGTTTGGCTTGCATTGGTCGTTTGGACCTTGTTGGTGATGTTGGTTCTCTTCTGAGATGCCTTCAGAAAAATGCCTTTCCAGAAAAAAAATGTTCAAAAGCTATCGGGCCAAACTACTAGTGTCAGTCCAAGCTGTCAAAGAGTCATTGTTTTGATGTGTTTCTTGAGCCCAGGAAGCCGCGGCCGCAGCCAGTTCCACCAGCGCCGGTGGCACCGGAGACGGTGCCGGAGCCAGTGCCGGAGCCAGTCGAGACGCAGGAGAAGTGGCCAGTATACAGAAGTTATAGTGGCCCCCAAATAGATAGTGGTACGGTTTCCACTACATTTTTAGCAGGGATTTTCTTTTCTATCTATTTTGGGGGGTCTATATGTAGAAGTTTGGCTTTATCTAGGTCCTATTCGCCATGAGTAGAAAGTCATTGGGTGCTTGTCTCTCCTTGAGCCTGCAGGAGGAGGAGTCCTTACCCGAGACCCAGCCGGGCGACCTTTTCGCAGCGGCCGAAGCCGCCGAGGCTGCGCAGGCTGCGGAGATGACGACGACGGAGGAGGACGGCAAGATCGAGGTGCATGTGATGGCCCAAGGGGAGGCCGGCCGCGTTGGCTGGGGTTGGACGTGGGCCCAGGGACATTGGGAGATGTGGGGGTGATAAAAAACCACACCCGCGGTGTGTTTTTGCATCCGCTTATCTCGGGAGTTTTTCTTTTGAAGGTGAGCAATGGGACATACCGTGCTGAAAACTCGCATGGATCCTGAAAACCACTAGTTGGTAGAGCAAAACAGTCTTTCAGGGTACCATTCTCAGTGCCTATGTCAGTTTTCGGGAGCATAATGGGACTGTTTGTGCTTTGGCCCATCCCACCGTTCCGTCCACAAGCCTTGAAGAAGAAGCTGCCTGCAAGGCTTCATGTTGCGTCAGACTGTCAGGATGGTCCAAACATTTTGGACTTCAAGATGAAGCCTGAAACGCCCTTCGAAGCGGTTTTGAAGGCTTGGTGTGACTTGGCGTCGGAGTATGGTCATGTCACAAGAATGTGACGAATGTGGATCGAGAGTAGCAACGGCGCTCTTTATCCCAAAGGTGGTTGATCTGGACCCACATCTACCATCATCTATCCTCAAGCTTGTGCCATCTACTGAACTCGGTCGTCCTCGTTGGGCGTGACGCTGAAGGACGGAGAATCGTGGGAGGCCGAAGCGATCGGGGTGAGAGACGGGGGTCGCAGATGGCACGCAGTGGATTTTGGGGGAGTGGACTCTTGAAGTAAGAAGCATTTAGATCTCCTAATTAGAACATACGACTTAGAGAATATCTGAGATATGATCAAGATGTACCATCCAGGTAGGGCTGTTCTAGAGGTCGATCGATGTGTCATTACTTTCTTTATTCAGTCCGATCTTCTTGCCCTCTCCGAGGCAAGCATCATGAGATTCCACAGGACCAGGTGCTCTTCAACTTCCAAAACGCCCCACTACAGCCGCAGCTGAGCCCCAAGAGCGTGGGATGGCAGAAGGAGTTCGGCATTCTGGAGATCGAGGCGGCCGAGTTCGTCAGGGGCGGGGTTGGCACTGGCGTCGGGCGTCAGGGTTGATATGGGGAAGCTGCTGGCGGTTCAGGTGCGTTTATGTCTCTATATATGGGAATTTCTACTATATAATATTCCGAATCCATGTTGGCGTCACGTCAGCAAAACCTGAAGAACGTGCTCATCAGCGTCCCCAACTCCTTTGCACAAGTGCGGTGTTTCTCCGCACGTCTTGAAGTCTTGGCAAGGCAGGTCACCGGAGCGTAGAGTAGGAACGCAGGAAGAACAAGTTCCAGTGACCAAAAGATACGATATAGGCAGGGTAATTGGTTTACAGTTTAGGCAACGCTTCAGGCAATCCACGTGAACTGTTGCCTGAGCAGCTTGTCATGAGCTGTTTTTTACGGGAAAGCACTTCTTTGAGCCAGCTTATGCCATTTTCACCTGCTTGTGGTTAGAAGCCATGTGTTTTTTGGTCACTCCTTGACCTCCTAGCCAGCAACAGTTTTAGTCAAGGGCGGTGGAGTTGACTTCTGTGTCTTCATGATCAGGAGCAACCAATTTGCAGGTTCCATGCTGATGTGTTCAGCTGATCTGGTCATCTCCGCCACTTCACCAGTCAGGCGCGGCCAGTCGAGGAAGAACAGCCGGAGGTGAAAGAGCAGGCGTTGGCCAACCGGGGAATCGCACTGGGAAGGGTTTTCCACGGGGCAAACCAGGTCAAGTCCAGATGTCCTCTTGGTGCGTTTGGGTTCTGGCCCACCTTATGCCCATCGATGCCCGACATCCTTCGCTTCGAGACCTCGCTGGGCGTTCCGCAACGCCTGTTTCAGCTCAGGGGGCTAGCAGAGGAACCCTTTCGGAACCGAGGAGCTGAGGAACCGAGGAGGGTTGCTCAGGTTCAGCGAAGTTCAACGGTTCAGCGATGTTAAACGGAGCAGACTCATCAGTGCTGTGCATGGCTGATGAGTCTGACGAGTCTGAAAAGGCCTCAGACTTTGTGTCCGGCCTCTTCGTCCCAAATTCGGATCACGGAACCAAAAAAGCATGTTCCAATGGACTGGCATTTTCATGCATTTTCATGGTGGACACTGCGCCTGAACAACATGAATAGATTGACATCCTTGAGCCTACAGATCAAGCGTGGCCTTGCTTCTGAAGCATTTGTAGTCCTAACTACAGGTTTCGCAATCCCCTTTGGGCCGGGCATCTTGCCATGGCACAGGCCCCATCGACGGAGACCTCCGCAGAAAAGATCGACGTGCGAGTGGTAGCAGATGCGGAGAACGGTGAAAATGTGGTCGACTTCAAGATGAAGTTTGGAACAACATTTGGCAAGATGATGGCCCCTTGGAGGCAGTGTAATGACTTCGTGCTGGGCTTTTTTTTGCCAGCATCAATCTTGAAGCAACATCTGATTCCCTAGAGGTGTGATTTCCGGTGACCAGACAACGGAGAACCGTTGTGGATGGCAGATCCTTGATCCAATCTCTAGAGGCACCACCATCGCCCCCCTCCAGGGGGTGATCCGGGGGGATCCCAGGTGTTGTGACTCCAAGTGATCCCTTAAGAAGGGGGGTTTTGTTGGTTGTTGGTTTGTTTCTGTGCTTTTCAAGCCTGAAGACTGAAGCAATCACAAGCAATCTTCTTTCTGTGCCGCTTCGGGACGTGTATAGTCCCATTGAGGCTCGCTGGTGTGCCCATCAAGGAATACCACGTGAGCAAGCTTGTTTCAAAGTCGGCGAACGAGAGCCGCTTGACTATACTTTTGTATGTGTGCGTCATAGCTTTGGGTAGGAGATATGGGATGGCCTGACATGACACACGACATGAAAAGAGGCACTGATCTTTGGAGATGAAGGCTGCAAGGAGATACCCTAGTTAAACAATGTTAAGAATATTCCCAGCACAGTTCCCAGCACCCATTGCTCCACCTGAGCTATTTGTTGTTTGTCCAGTGGAGTGTTTTGGAAGTGTTTAGCATGGGGTAGGCCCAGTCTTTGTGATTCTCCGTATGGCGTATGGTCCTTATAATATAGCATGCAAGGACCGGAGGAGCGGTGGAGTGATTACTCTCGTGGTTGTCCTATCCGGTACTATCAGTTTTTGTTCCGGTAACCGTAGTTCTTGTGATACTTAAGGCTCCATATCAGGTCACAAGTGTTGCAGCGCACCCCTGAAGAATAGCATCCTAAGAATGTCGCCCAGACGGCCTTTGATTTGTGCATATTCAACCGGGGGCCCAGGTTTGCGAGCCCTCGGGTCCCCATTCAAGTGAACACACTGAAGGTTGGACCTCCTTGCTATTCTAGCCACTGTTTGTCTTGCAGTGTCCATTGAACTCCCGAATGAGCGGTGGATATCGATGATGCCGGTGGCGAAGTTAGCTTTGCGGACTTGAGTCCGATGATCACGAACAGCAGACGATTCAGAAACTAGCTCCGACTCAGAAACTTGCGACTCTGAAACTACAGAGTGTCCCGATTCAAAAATTCACCCGATTCAGAAACTAGCCGATTCAGAAACTGCCGATTCATCAGAAACTGGCCGATTCAGAAACTGGGGGGGAGGGGGGGGGGGGGATCTAATGAAATGTGTGTGTTGATGTAGCGTGGAAATATTCGTATTTCACAGACCCGATTCAGAAACTATCCGATTCAGACCCATTCTAGTTTCCGAATCCGTGGCCACCCTAGTTTCCGAATCCGCCGTTGACCGATGATCGCTCTTTGGATTCATTCGGCCATCGACTGGCCAAAATCATGCCTTTGGGGACCATGCTGGGCTTCAACAGTATGCATGCCCTTGCGGGGGTGGAGGGCCGTGAATCAGGGGAATGAGGGTATTCTTGAAAAGACTGAACGACCCACATCCGTATGGCGGCTTCCAAGCAGATTGATCATCAAACGTGAAAGATCTCGAGTAACAACATTTACCGAGAGCATCGTTCAAGGAACACTTGTTTTCTCATTGATGGCCACCACTTTAGATGGTTTCTTTCAGATTCCATACCTTAGCTTCATCGGGGCCTTGTTTATCACCCAGTTAGGGACGCTTTTGTTCTGTCTTCCGTTGAACACATTGATCACCTGTCTCAAGACCAACAACTCCCCAAGCCGGCCACTCCGTCTCACCAGGCGTGTGGGTTAAAGTAGTCCCTAGTGGCCCCACAAATCCGTTCCACCTCTTGGTCCTTCTGGGTATATAAGTGAACCCTCGCGAGAGGCAGTCTTAAGACTGCCTCCCAGGCTAGCGGATGAGGACACTCCGCACACCGTGGGGGCGAGCGGTGATGGTCCGAGCCCCGATCCAACGGGTCGCCCCAACTCGTCCAAACCCCCCCGCCGCGACGTAGGGATCGTTGGAATTTCTGTAGTCCGGAGGTGAATGTTCCGACACCTTTTCTTCCCCTTGATTTTTGGGTGTAGTGACGGTGTGGATAGGGGAGCACTTCTGACGCGCAGCCGGACCGTTCCTCAGGGATATTACTTTAAAAAGGTGAACTGCTGTAGGAGTGGGAGTAGGAGTGGTGAGTGGAACCATTGGGTGCGACCGAACTTCATCCATTGAACGAGGGGCCTTGGTCTTCGACCAGGCGTTATTCACCGTGACGCGAGCAGATGGTACAGGGGATACCGGGGATAACCATGGCAACCATCACTTGGAATGTTGTATGAGGATTATGAGCTTCTCTTTCTACTTGAACTTCTTACAAAATTGTTTGTGCATTAGATACGGTTGTGTAGGAATGGATTTGATCCCACTTTGCACGCGACTCCGCCAAAAGGACGCATGAAAAGACCTCGACCCCCGTCACGTGGCAAAACCCGATGCCTCCGTGTGCCGTGGCCAAGTCCTGGTGGTGCGGGTCATGCCCCACAGTGAGAAGACGTCCGCCCCGCCGCTTGGACCGGAAGTGGCCCTGGATGGCCGTGATCTGGGTCGTTTTGGGTGCGGGATTTGTTCTGGGAGAGCTATGGTAGGGGGAGGTTGAGTAGATGGGTGTGTGGAATTTGCGGGGATCGTGATGGATCGTGATGAATCCACCACTTTGCCCAGGCCGCCGGCGTCTAGCGCATCTTCCAGTGCCAGCGCGGGTGGATTGGCCTCATCGCCTTCGAGGCTGGCAACCTGTGTTGTGGCGTCAGCAACGGAGATTTTTGAGTTTTTTTGAGGTTAATTAGCCGATTTTCGATGCAATGGTCTGCGGAGGTTCGACTGTCAGCTATTCTTGTGTCTCACCTTTCCAGTGCTTTCTCACTTTCTGAACTGATGGTGGAAGGCCGCTTCCCCTCAAGGTTTTGCTGTGGCAGGCCCTTTGTCCAGCGGGTCCGCCCCCCCTTGAGGTCTCGCAGGTGTGGCCCTATGTTTACTGCTGCGCCCCCTGCCTGTCTATACCCTCCTACTAGCGCTGTGTAGCTACTAGCTCTAGCAATGTTTCACCGTTTTCAGACCAGTTCTTCCTGATCCACCCTTTGATGAAGAAGTTGTTTCTTTAAGAGGCCTCCCGGTCTCCCAATAGAGGACTCCAAATAGGTCGTCGCGCCGCTTCCAATTCCTAATGCGTCTTCTGGACAGGAACTAGGAATTCGAACTGTGTTTAAGCTTTATCGTTCCCTATACTTCTTGAACGAGTGGGAGGTTGCAAGACTCTATGCGGTATCTTGTGATTCGTGTGCAGAAGACCATTTTTGGCTGGAGGAGTCACACAACAGGATCACAGGTGCTGGCCCTCACATGAAGCGCTTTGTCTTCGTGGTGATCTTTTGTGCGCTTACTGCAAGCGCTGGTGGATATGCCAGTTCCGGCCCCGATTTGCCAGCTGAAGTGGAGTCTTTGGCCGTGAGATTGGTTTCCAAGTTTCTCCCAGGTGCTGAACATGTCCATGCGATGGTGCAAAAGCTGTGGGATCTGTGGAAGGGTTGGCAGTGGCGGCTTCAGCATATTCTACGTATTCTAAAGTACGTGGACTGGCATCCAAAGCTCGAAAATTCCTGACCACTCTCAAGATTAGTGAAGCTTGGACGGCTTTTCGCAGATTGGTCCTGAACATCACGGAGGACATAGGAATCATGGACGCCCTTGACAGCATGAGAACCCGTTTCATGTTCGCGGTCAAGCGGTTGGGTGGAACGTCTCTCACTGACTTGCTGCCTGAGATGAAAGGCATGTTGAGCAGTTGTACCTTCCAGCAATTCTGAAGGACAAGGTCGCTGAGTTCGTAACATACGTGTCCAAGCCGGGCCTGATTTGGGGATTCAAAATGGTCCTGGTGAAATGGATAGCTCCTGTGATCATCCCACCAGTTCTGAATCAGATATTCCCCACAGTTGTTCGAGGTGTGGTGCATATGCTGATGTGGGCGAACCCTGCTGTCGGAGCCAGCTACAACGTGGTCAAAGGAGTCACCGGATTGCTCAAACACCAATTTGATCCACTTGAGATGCTAATTCAGAAATTGTCGATGCGGATCAGTGTTGGCACCAATTTTATATCAGAGCCGCCGATTTCTTGCGATATGCGAAAAGCTTGCTAGACTTGGCGCGGAAAGCTTGGGGCCTCACATCTTTGAACTGGCATGGCAGAGAGGAAGCCAATTGGTAGGGCAGAGCGGCTACAATTTCATGACGCAATTTTGCTCCGGGATTTTGCTGCCTCTAATGAACTGGGCAGTGGCTTCGCTGTTCAGCACAGACTTGCTGTACTCTTTCCAGACTCTGATTGCCAAGTTCATAGACACTATCTTGGGAAATGAACCTTCTTCGCGATTCGGTGGTTTTGGGCAAATGCTAACCGAAATGCTGGAGCATGTAGATCCGACCCAGCAGATTGCGGGGTAGGCGGTTCGTCACAGCTGGTCCTGCGAGAGACTGATCCCAACCCCATCTCTAGGTGATGTACGAAGTTCCGTGCAGTGCTTGTGGTGCAATCATTTTTATAACCTTGCGCCATGTGGGTTTTTTGAAACCATCAGCCCTCGCTCAACGCGAGCAAAAGTCGGGGCGTTGTGACGGATCCGGCGTTGGTGTGAACCGTAGGTCGGATCGAGTCTAGAGACTTGTTGATCACTTCTGGCACTCCATGCCATACATAACACAATTTTTTGACATTGACCAACCTTTCCCCTGACCATGCCAAGCTAGATAATTCGACACTCATGGAGGGAAATAATGCGAATCATTTGCCCAACCTCTGTTTTTCCATTCTGTAGCCTTCAAGGACCATTAAAAGAGTGGTTTACCTGGTGGTGTCGTGTAAACATCCTTAGTATATAAAACAATGGTTCTTCGGCAAAGACCATTAAGACAATTGTTGTTCGAATCATAGGGCATTTTGATTGCAAGTCCCGGTTGAGACAGGCCTGAGAACAAGGCAGACATGCCCAAGCCCAAAGAGACCAGGCGGGAAACATACATCCGCGAGAAGTGCGGCAAGTGCCACTACGAGCTCATCCAAAGATATCTTGTTGAATGGGATCTTTGCAGGTAAGCGGGGTATTTTTTTGGGGGACCTTCAGTTGATCCACCCATGGGTGCAGATACAACAAGGAAGCAAAGCACGAAGCAGTCAGGAGGAAGCCAGTGATACGCCGCATGCGCTGTATGTTTGCTGTACAGGATATGTCCCCACACTCATCTCCCGACCAGCCTGGCGCCCGGCCGGGCGGCAGTTCCAGCGAAGTGGAAGACGAGAAGCTGGAGGTGAAGGTGGTGGCCGACTGCGCGGGCGGCGCCAATGAGACGAGCTTCCTCTTGTCGGGCTGCCCTGGTTGAAGAAGGGCTGATTGAGTGGGGCACAAGTGCTTAATTCGGGAGAACAGTATCATCGCATTTGTGACCGACGCAAGGCAGGGGACCAAGTTCTTCAACGCAAAAGCGAAGACTTCAAATTCAACCATACATGTCGCTTGCTTCTTGGCTGATGTTGTCACCCCACATGAACGCTGGCTGCTGCGCAGATGTTTTGGTCTGAACCTTGCTTTCGACCACCTGCCTCAGCGCCAGGCGACGTTCCACCCCGCTTGGGAAGATGATGCAGGCAAGATGTTCAACAGTTTCGCAGTGCCACACATTTTGTCCATCGTAAAGTGGGTATCGTCAGTCACCTGATGAAAACTGCAATGGGATTTGTAGCTGCAATGATGACGTCACTTCTGGTTCCGGTGGAAGCATGGCGCAAAAAAGAGCCGCCTTTCAAGGGCTCCGCGTGTGGCGAGGCCTGGTGTGATCATCATGAGCTTCCACTGGCCGAGGCAAAGTTTCTACTGGAAGGTCCTGGTTCGCGCGTGTTGACGCCTGAGGACCGCGACTGTGTGCTGTGGAGCACGGGTGGTGGCAAGGCAGGTGGACCCAAATTGTTTTTTCCTAACTTAAGCCACTGGCCAAGACGGGCACATTCTCCCATTGCTACCCAATCGATAGTTAGTAGTGGTTGGGTGACGATGATGATGTTCCAGGTTTTGGATTTTGGATGGGTTTTGGTGGTTGCAAGAATCGGCGTTGAGTTTCCGGCACAGTATCCTGAGGCTGTTGAGGCATGCTGTTCCATTTGGCAGAGGCCACGAGATATTGTTACATTCTATACGGACTTCAAAGGAGTCTTTCTTGGGGGGTTCAAGGTTTTCAGAGGAATTGAAGGAAGAACTTGCAACATCTCAGAGGATGGTTGGAGAGGTGGCCGGAATTTCCGGAGCCATGGTGACAGAGGTTGTGATGAGTACATGTTGGAGTGTGCAGTGGCTGGTGGCTTGTGCTGCTGCAGCATGTCTTGGTCAAGTGCCATGAGTTCACTGCAGAGGGGGGCCTGTTTTCATGGGTGGTTAAGCTAAGTATACGGTATGCATTAATATGCATTATATAATATTATCTTGATGGAGTGATACGTTTCACCGCTTAGCGAGGAGGCACACGCTGAAAAACTGCTGGCTGAACGCCCTATTCAAACACCAGCTTCGGGATGTTAGGGAAGATGGCTTTGTGGTTAGGCTGATGTCGGACATGGTGCACGAGTGTGCGAGACGCTCCCTGGCCCCCAGGACACCTTACAAAGCCTCGGCTGCCGTGAGGTGGTGATCCGAGCGGTCCGGGCGACCAAGTTGTTTCTTTTTTCCGCGGCCATGTGTGTTAGTTACTTGTGAAAAAAATAAGATCCCGGGATGTGAATATTATTAAGAGCTGACGCTGTTTGACTTAGCCAACCAGCCAAGTCGGAGATCATTTTCATGAAGACTCTAGTGGCGTTTCCCTTCAAGACCTCAGGTTTTGAGTGCAGGGGGTCATCGATGGATTGTCAAGACACATTTTTGCCTTGTTCTGTTCGAACAATCAGACGAATTTCTCCAGCCTCCTTCCTTTTCCTTTGCCCCTCCTCATCCTGCCTCCGAAGAGGTCCCCACCGAGCCTGATGCAAAGCCGCCGGCAACAGCAGCACCTGCCACCAAGCCGGCAGCTGCCGCGCCTGCGGCCGTGCCTCCACAGGCCAGCGCAAACATCAAGCCGCCTGCGGCCGTGCCTGCTGCACCGGCCAAGCCGGCGGCAGCCAAGCCGGCAGCCAAGCCGGCGGCAGCCAAAGCTAAGCCGGAGGCCAAGCCGGCGGCAGCCAAAGCCAAGCCGGAGGCATCCAAGCCAGCGGCAGCCAAAGCCAAGCCGGAGGCCAAGCAGGAGGCAGCCAAGCCGGCTCCGAAGGATGCGAAAGCCTCTTTGAAGCAGATTATGGAAGATTTTAGTACATTTAGAGCAAGTGGGATATGTACCACAAGCGTGGCATCAATTTGGATCGTCCTTCCCAGTCAAGACTCCACATGTTTCATTGCTAGCAGCTGTTCCGAGACAATGGAGCTGACACCTAATTCATGTGAGTCTGTATCCAAATAGGGGGACCTCCCAGTTCGATCCCCAAGAAGTAGAATAGACCAAAAACATCCAAAAATATTAGAAAAAACCCATTGGTTCATTCCTGGTCCCCTTTTTCAAATGCACCACGCCCACCATAAAGACATGGATCCCGGTACAGGACAGTAGCGACTTGCTGGCCTGGATGAAGCTTTAGTTCCTGTTGATGGGACATGATCTCTGAATTGGAGAATTGGATTTTTTGTTGCTTTCCCTCAATCAAGGGGTCAATATGAACTGGGCTTGGCGGCCATGAATCTCCCTCATCGTTTGACTCTAGAAGCTGGAGGGCTCCTCCAAGGCCTCACAGGAGGAATCGACATGGCCGCAGAGAACGCGGCACCATTCATCCCTTGTTGGATGCCCAGAATCCGGTGGATCCTCAAGAAGCTGTCACTGAAGCTACTCCAAGGCTTGCCCAGTAGATCTGTGGTGCCCATTTTGCTTGGAGGATCGGAGGGTACCACCACCAATCCACCGGTGCCTGCGGGCTGCGCCACGTCCCTGAGGCTCAGATCGAAGTGCGGGTGGTGGCGGACGCGGAGAATGGCGAGAACGTGGTGAACTTTAAAATGAAGCTGGGGATGACCTTCGGAAAGATGATGGCCACTTGAAGCAGACACATTACTTGGCCACTTCAATGTGTTCCATGGTAGTTTCCGTGGTTTTTGCTGGATGTTTCTTTCCTGGCTTTAACGACAGTCAGAAATTGGGCTCATGCCACCTGGCAAAGTGTAGGAGCTGAACAAGGAGAAACACGTGGCAGTTACTCGCACAATGTCCCGAAACACCCGTGAACAACGAAGATAAAGGTGAGAAGCGAAAAGTCCTCTTTCTTTTGAAGTGTTGGTCACCTCAATTGAGAAGCTCCTTTCTGAGCCTCCCATTCTTCCTCCTGTATCGATCCATCCATGAGGCGCGCTGGTGTGCCCATCAAGGAATACCGCGTGAGCAAGCTTGTTTCAAAGTGGGCGACAGAGAGCCGCTTGACAGCTGTGATTTCAATTCTTTCCCACAACTTTCCGCCGTGAGGATGGCACTTCCCAAATGCACAGCCTGCCCCTTCTAACAGCTTTTTGCGGCCAAAATGGGGGTGCCACATGGTCTCATTGGGCTAAATGTCCTCGAAAAGACGCCTCGAACCAAACGCCACGCATCAGACATCAGGCAGAGTCAGACTCTCTCTCTCTCTCTCTCTCCTCCGTATCGATGTCTCATGACTCACGAGGCTCCAAGACGAGGACACCCCCACCGACCTGGCGCAGAGCACCGAGGACGGTCCGGAGCCCCGGAGCCTTAGGACGGGCCACCGGCGGGACGTGTGGCCGGGAGCAGCCGATTTCGGGTGAACAAGGCCATGGGCATCCGTTGAACACCCGTTGAATCCCCCCAGGCGATCTAACCTAATTAGATGAGATTCTGCCCCGATGCTAGAATGAGGATGTGGACGGTCAGAACTGCCCCTCAATGATCCCAAATACCTCCAAATACTGTAATATTTAAATAAAGTCCATTTTTATTCATTCATTCAAGGTAGGCAGGGTCGGTGATGAGGAATTATTTGATATCATTCAGTTCACTCACTCCTTTTTAGCTTGAGGCTCAAGCCAAAAAGGAGTGTCGCTCCACAAGAATCAGTGTTGCTGATTCTTAAGATTTTTGTTGGTGCGAGCCATGGCTGCTGCAAATGCTCGACGCGCGGTTGAGCAGGAAAAGCTGCATACATGGTGTGCTCGGATGGGCATCGAGAGCGCCAGCGACTTGGCATTTTGGTTCACCTCCTACGACCAGGCCCTTCATGAAGCAGGTCGTGCAGTAGCGGATGGGTGGGATCTTGCTCGCCGTGAGAGGGAGCCAGGGATGGCTGCCCTGGTTCGCAACCTTTTTGCGCGGGAGATAGTTTGTCAGTCCCGTCCGCCCCAGCCTTCTTCTGGTGTGGCTACCTTTTTGCCTTCCTCTTCGGTGGCCCGCTCTAGGCCGTCTTCATTTGCAGGGCCTGTCAAGCCCAAGAAGCAGTCAGCACGCCCGTCCGGCGACAAAGGGGGGATCGCCTCTTTGTTCATTCGAGAATTGTTGGGCATCATGGTGACGCTGATGCCGCCACCGTTTGCCCGCTACGACCGTGGCTCTACACGTGTATTTACCTTTTTGGGCTGGATGATTCGTACTTTTTGTGTCCCACTGGATTTGAGTGAATCTTCAAAGCCTGCCCCTGTCCGGGGCACTCGGTTGGGACAGGGGCAGTCACAGGCGGCACCTCTGGAGCCTGGCATGGTGACACATTTGTTGGGAGTTTTGGAGTTTGTTCGGGCTTATTTGTTTTTGTCATGTCGAAAGGAGCTACTGGTGCGAACGCGGGCACCATGACTTTCTGGTGTTTCAAAGGAAAGATCGGCACTCGTGACGGATTCGCCTGGTCACTCCCACGCACATTGGGCAGTCTTGACCTCTATGCCATCTGGAAGCGGTGTTTTGGCTGGGCAGCATTTTAGTTTCTACAGCTTCAGATGTGTGGTGCCCACGTTGGCTGGTATTGTGCGGCTCACAGATACCGAGCGCCTGGCTGTCGGCCGATGGACGGATGCTGCTAGTGGTACTTCTACAGCACAGACTCCATTACGATATGATGCACAGAAACAAAAACAGGGCCATCAACTTCGGCTTGCGGCATCGTTGTTTCTGGCCAGCGCACCCGAGGTTTGTGGGAAGAGATCAAAAGTACCCCCGCTGTGGAGCGGAGGGCTGAGGCCATGGTGGCCGCCGACGAATTGCTGTCAGGGAGGGAACCCCCGGGTGGTTCGACTATCGTCGGAAGACATCCCGGGCATGCCTATGGTCAAATCTTTGTTGCCCGCCTCCCTGACCGTTATTCGTACAGCTGGGAAGAAGATCATTCGGGCTTTGCGTAAGCGGGCGGCCTCTACCTTGGTGCCGGGACCTTCATCCTTTCCATCGATGCCAAAGCCTACGGTGTCGCCACGACTGGCGCCTAAGCAGGCCGAGCCTCCCCTGCAGAGGAGACGCCTCCCACAGAAGACGGCGGCGCCGGCTGCGCCAGAGCAGGTGTCTCCTGCTCCTCTATTACTGCCTGTACCGGCCAGTCCGGCCGCGGTGGCTCCGCCTGCTCCTGCCAGGGGCCCGGGGACTCCGGTTGTGGCCGTCAAGAAAAAGCCGCAGCCGCCTGCTGCAAAGGCTCGACCTCCGCCGCCGGCGGGGCCGCTCAACGAGGTCTCCGACGCGATGTTCGATATCGCTGCTCGTGAACGTTGGGCACAACCTGGCTGCTGGGTTCAACGTTTTGGTCCGCTGTCAGGCCGGCGTGCACAGAGCGCCAATCCTCATGGCCATCCTCCTTGCCTGGCTCAGGCGAACCAACTTCGACCACGAGTACGACAGATTGGAAGGCATGAAGGCTGTAGATCGCCAAGGTGTTCTGAGACGGCGTGGCGGCGAAGCGCTGTTTAGTTGGGCACGTTTGAGCTGCGCAGGAAACCTGCCCCAGCTACCAAGGTATACCCTGTCGTTTTTTATCTGTTCAGCAAAGGCAGGGGCCTTACGGCATGTAGAGCGCGAAGGCGCCCCGTGGTGCCGTTGGCAGTTGGAGACAGGCGTCTCCGGGGTTTCGTGGCGATACCCACCGTGCTACATCGGTGCACGAGGCGTTGGGGTACGATCGCCAGATTTGCAAGTCCTGCCAGGCTGTGCTTCCCGGTCCGGACCGACGTGCACTGGCCTAGGCTGTACTAATAGTGAATTTGTGTCAAAAGGCGCACTGTCTTGTCCTGGGGACATGTGAGACCGGATGAGCGCCGATTTTGTGTTTACAGTTGTTCCCAGTTGCAGCTTAGTTCATATCAAGTTCGATCGTTCCTCATGGACCGACCCCAGGCTATCCAGTGGGCGGCTGTTGCCATGGCGCCCTTGGACGGAAGCGCGGCGGGGCAAGGCAGTTGAGTTACGGGATTTGGGACAGCAGGCTCGTCTAGCCCTGGAGTCCCTGTCCCTTACTGTTTCCCCCTGGCTGGGGGTGGTCATGGTCCAGATTGGTGCTATGCAGGGTCTCCGCAGTAGCTGGATTGAGTGGCGGGATGAGATTCAAGACATCCCTGTGGAATTCGCCCAGCCTGAGCCGGAACTTCACTCATTGTTGGGGGCACGGCCGGTCAGGCCCGGGTCTGTTCCCCGCTTGCATACCTATAGTACGGGCCCTTTGCAGTGAGATATGGGAGTTGAATACCACATTGGCCCCGGATGAGCGACATCGCCTGCGTATGGTTTTGACGATGGTCCACGATGAGGTGACACCGTTTGCTGACGCCCTGAACTGGGATGCTTTGCGCTGCCTGGGCTTGGAGCTCAATGAGTTGGCACCGCAGTTAGAGTAATGTGCTCATGTGGGGTTTTTGATAAAAGAGGCTCGAGTTCGATGGTGTGTTGCATTTTGTAGTCTTTTGGTGTGTTGCAGCTGTCTTCAAGTTTCAAGTATTCAATTCGATCTCGTCGGTCACTCATTTGAAATGTCGATCGTATTTTCTAAGCAGTTGCCTACAATTTGATGATATATTCACGGCCCTGGCGTATAGTTCAAAGTCGATACTTGCATCCAAGACGAGATCCTCGAGTTGGGCATTCGCACATTGGCTGAGTTTCGCCATTACCCTCGGACTGAGGAGGAAGTCAAGTTTTTTTGTGGATAGCTTGTTATTTTGAGTGGAGGACAATCTCGCTCGCTTGCAGGTTGTTTGTCTTCGCTTTGAGAGGCTATGTTGGATGTCGAGCATGCGGCCGCTAGTTTGCCGCCCGCCCCTACCGAGGACGAGACCTTGTTGTCTACATTGGAACTCGGAAGGAGGTTTTCTACAAGTGTTACCACCTCCGCCCGGAATCTCGCCAGTTCCCCTCGGACCGCTTGTTGAGCAAGCTGAGCCGCTAGTTGTACCGGGGGCATTTGGAAGTCATGGATTTGTGGAGCGTCAGATCCCGGACGTTTCAGCGGACGCATGGTCAGAAGCGTCGCAAGGTGGGGGATGGTTTGTATTTTCAGGAGGATGACACTGAAGAGGACATGTCCAAAATTCGGTTGGCCTACCTCATGAAGCTCGAGACCTACCTGTTGGCTCTGGCTATTGTGGGCTGCCGGCCCTTGGATCCGCCTACGGTGACCCCTGAAACCCTGGTTTCGAATAGCTTGGACTACGTGCAAGTGCCCTATGATACTTTGTTTTGGTACTACGCCCGGTGCCAGGACCTGGTCTACCGCACGGCTGACTCGAAGCGCCTCAACGTGTTGCAGCACTTGGACGTCGAGGAGCGGGGGCAGTGGTCTGCCCGGACTGCGGTCGGCACGTCACTGGGATCGGTGATCCATGCAGTGCACCGCGAGCGTGACGCGCTCTGGATTGCGGGGGCCCGGCCGGGGCCGGTGGTGGGTGGTGGGGGGGGCACCCCCACCCCATCCTCTGCGGCTTGGTCGCAGCAGGTGGACTTCGCCGGGCGGGCAGGTTCTGTGGTCCACAGCCTTCGAGATGGCACAGCTCTATGCAGTGATTTTCAACGTGGCCGTTGCAAGAACAAGCGCAATGAGTGACCCAAGGGTGTTCATCGTTGTGGAGTCCTTCTGAAGTCCGGCCGCGTTTGTGGATCATGGCAGCATGCGCCTGCCAAGTGCCCGAGCAAGGCTTGAAATGAGGGCCGCTCTTCCACTGAGAGGGAGCGAGGCCAGATCCATGACATGTCTGTGTATGCTGACTACCAACAGTTCATGGAAGAGCTCTCCCTTGTTGATCCAGTGAGTGATACAGCGCGAAAGCCAGTCTTTCTTGATGTGTTCAGCGGGTTGAATGCACCGCCTGCTAAGGCCTTCCTTTGGTGCCAATGGGAAGTGGTTACGCCTATTGACATTGAGATCGACCACGATTTGGATGACCAGTATGTCAGATGGATCCATGACCAAGGAGCACTTGGTTGATGCCCTGCCCTCACTGCATGGATGTATGCTGCTCTGCGACTGTCCTCACAACCAGTTGTGTCATGGAGATATTATTTGTGCACTCATCTGGACTACAACGACCTCACGATCTACACTTCCGCGGCGGCGCCGCCAGCAGGGTGTGCGCAAAGTGGCCTTGCTGGCAGCAGGCCTTCGTCCAGTCCGGGCTGTTCCCATCAGATTTTCACAGGAGACGGTGATAGGTGCTCTGATGGCCTTGTGTCCTCATACACATTGGTCTGGTTTCCAGTGGCCCATGATTGAAGACCTGTTGATCGACGACTTTGATTTGGGTGGTTGGCTACCATGCAGACCCGGGAGGATTGGCATGGCCAAGCGGTTGGCCCGTCCTTGGTGGGACCCATTGAGCGTGCAGCCATCTCTCTACACGGCTTTCAACAGGCGGGTGCCGCGGCTGCGGCAAAAGCCATGCCGCCACTGATTCCATTCGGGGTTGGCGATGAGCGTCATTTTGAGCTCGCACTGGGCCTCAAGACCCAGCCTACGCTTTTCGAATCAACGGGTGTTGTTGATGACGACCTCCTCTTTGCCGCGGACCGATATTGGCAGTTAGGTGTCTCCCTACGAATTGTTTGGCAGCGCATGACACGTTGGATTCACGAGCTGGCCCGGCGCACGTGGCCCATCACCGAGTGGATGCGTCAATTCCAACCACCAGGCCCAACCAGCAAAATACCTCACCTCGTCAGATCTTGTACAAGGGGCTTGGTCGGACGCCGAGCGCCTTATTCGCAATTTGAAGTCATGTCAGCAAGACGAAGCTATTGTTCAGGCTGGGTTGGACGACGAAGCTCTAGGGTTTTGCGGGCCAGCCATGTCCCCTCCTTCGACGGTTCTGCATTCAGCAACCCAGCGGAAAGCTGAGGGTCATTGATGACGCCGCGGACGGCGGGCAAAGTGAGCTGAGCCACGACTCGAACAAGTTGGATTTGTGCACCAGCATCCAACCGGGCCTTCATGTGCAGCTCTTGTGGCGGGCAGTCAGCCCTTTGCAGAATGCAGCCACCTTACTTGCAGAGGGCATCTGCTCAGGCGGTGAAGATCTCCCCAATGCGTACCGGCACGTGCCTATGGTCCCGGAGCATTCAGACCCCGCCATCGTCGCCTACTACGACCACCAAGTAGGGGAGCCTCGCTTTCGTCGCTACTATGGGTCACTTTTTGGGCTGCCCAATGCTGTGTGCTCGTTCAACCGGTTCCCTCGCTTCTTTCAGGCCGTATGTCGTCGCATGGGTTGTTGTCTGGCTAGCATGTATTTTGATGATTTGACAGTTCAGGACCTGGGAAGCATCAAAGGTTCAGCCCAACAGTTCATGACTTCTCTGGCCACAGAACTTGGATCGCCGTTCCAACCGGAGAAACATCAAACTATGCAGAGCCAGTCTGGCTTTCTGGGGCTGGTACATGATGTTGGGCAATGCCACCATGGGCATCCCGTTTGTTTTTGGCCACGCGACCGGTTGATCACTAAGGTCACGGATCTCATGGACGAAGCAACTCAAACAAAGCGTCTCTCGCCAGGCCTTGCTGCCAAGCTGTTTGGTTGCCTGGGCTTTCTCAACATTGGTTGTTTTGGTAAGCGTGGGAGATCAGGGTTGAGTCCCCTGAAGGAACGCCAGTACTCCCATGACATGATTTCGACTGAGGACCTACCACGTTCGTTTGTGACCATCACGTCCCTCCTCGCATTGCGACCTGAGCGAGAGTTACCACTTCAACCCGGTAGCCAGCAACGCTACCTGGCGGAATCCGATGCGGCCCAAGATGAACCTCGGCAAGGTTCGGCGGGCCTGTTGTTTGTTGGACCCAATGATGAACGAGATGCCTATGTCGTTGACATCACGGCGGAGCTCTTCACCCTTTAGTCTGACCACCCCACCAAGATTGCCCAGTTGGAGTTGCTTACAGTTTATGTGGGATTTATCTTTGTGGCTAGTCAGGCCCGCGCCTGTCAGGGGCTTTGGTTTGTGGACAACATTGCAGCGTTGATGGCCTTGGTCAAGGGCAGGAGCGACAACCCTGAGTTGGACACTATGGCAGGATGTATCCATGCTCTGTTGTATTCACTGCGTAGTGGTTGCTACTTTGAATGGGTCCAATCCGCTGACAATTGGTCCGACGGTATTAGCAGGCAAGGAATTCACGACGAATGGTATCAGGCTCATGGATTTCGTGTACATCGTGTTCCAGTACCTCTCCTCCTCCTCCGCCTACCTGACACCCTTATAAGTCGTGTCTTCCAGTTCTTCTGAGTGCTTTGGGTATGTTAGAATGCATTGGAACGAATACCTGGCAGAGGTATGCACCAGGGGTGCACGCAGCGTGGGCTGCTGTGACAGGGTCACATTAACCAAAGCACTTTTGAACAAAGACTCTCAAGCTTGTGCGAAAAAGAATTCAGTCCGAATCTGATTCGTCTTATCTCAAGTCAAGTGTAACTGATGCAGCCGAATATATTCATTCATTCAAGGTAGGCAGGGTCGGTGATGAGGAATTATTTGATGTCATTCAGTTCACTCACTCCTTTTTAGCTTGAGGCTCAAGCCAAAAAGGAGTGTCGCTCCACAAGAATCAGTGTTGCTGATTCTTAAGATTTTTGTCCCACCCACCACACCCTGTGCTCGGTACAAGTGGTTACAGGTACATGTGGCAGCTGTCGGCCTGAGTCTCCACATTTGCGGTGCATCTGTGTGGTACCTTTTGGCCTGTGTGGTGTCGCCCACGGCGAGGCCTTGATTGTGGCAGCAGCCTGCAGGTGTCCACGGGTTACTGCGTTTTGGTGATGTCGTGTCCTTTTTGATCTAGTTTGGCATGCCTCCAGTACAGCCTATTTGAACCGGTCATCTGCTGTCTCATGGCCTCGAGTGGTAACTGTCAGCCGAGTACCATGGATGAGGCCCGTTAAGTTTTTAAGTACGACGCGATGGACCATCGCCCTGGCGCAGTCTGTGGAAAGCCAGATGACTCAGCTTGGCTAAATGCTCTGGCAATGAGCCAATGGACTGGTGCTGTCTGCTGGATACCATGGTGTCCATTCTTCAACTTTTAGTTACCAATTTGATTTTCATATTGGCTGCTGTCTGCAAGAGGCCATAGCACTTGCAGCTGTCGGCATGGCTAAATACTCCAGTCATGAGTCCAGATCCCACTCTCGTCAGCGACATTGCGGGGCAATTGTAGGTCACTGCGTTGGCAGCGCAAGAGTT